CAATCCGGATAAGCTGGCTCGAAGCAGCCACAATAGGAAACGTAAGCTCTTCGGAGGTGGGGGGGAACCGCTCCCCAATAGGGCTGCTTTGGAGTCGGAGCCGTTCTCCCGCTGGTTTTGTCGCCCTGGGACGGATCAGCTCCCACTCCCTCAATTCTGCACAGCCATCTGGGGGATTCAGGGAGCTCTCCTCCAAAAAACCCAGCCCTCTTTTAGTGAAGGTATATGGACCAGGGATATTTGTATGACATTTTGGGCATGGAAAGCCACCTCTTTCTTGGAGTAGAGAATTTTTGTAGAGATGTTGGCACCGGAGAGGTTGATGATCCTTAAAGGAAGGCACCGGCGCACCATAAATCCCAAAGCAGGAGAGGCAGGTCTCGAACCCGATTCGGCTTGGACCCCTCACGATTTCAAGGCTCATCTCAGCCTCTTGGGAGGGCCTGGCATGCTCTGGTCGGTGGGGTCACGAAGAGTCGGGCGCGACTAAACAACAACAAAATTTAAAGGGAGGTTTGCAAAATCAGAGCAAAGAGCTGAGGAAGGCGCAAGACCAAAAGGGGCTTGCCTTTGCTCTAAAAATGTTTGCAAAGGACATTCCAGCCTCCGCCGCTCTCTCCTCTGGGATCCCTTTTAAGGCGACGCCGGAGCAGGGAGGAATCCTGGACCTGTCTTGCAGACGGACGGGCGGCCCCGGGACGAACCCCTGGCTGAGATCTGGAGGAAGCGGGAGGCGGGCGGGCATCTCCTTAGGGACAGTGCTTCCAGCTGCGGACAACTCCCCCCTCAGCAGGATATTGGTCTCCTCTCCTCTGCCCCCCCCGCCCATGTCTGTTCCCCGTGTTAATTAATGAGAGAATATCTAGCCAAGGAGATGAGGTTTTGGGAATAGCTCTGAATCTTTCTGGCTTGCGTTCTGCCTTTTTCAATGCCTGATTTTCCCCACCTATGATCTCGGGCTGTCGAGCCACTGTGTGCAAATCATGGTGTTGAAATCTGGGTGGGAGGTTTTCTTTCTGTCACCAGGATGGGAAATGGAAATTAATGTTTTCTCTTCCCTTCAGATAGAACAGCTTCCTCCCCGCCCTGGGGGGGGGGCTCTTGGTTATTTTGGCCCAGCTGGCACGACAGTCATCCTGGCTGATGGGAATTGTAGTCCAGTGCCTCTGGGAGAGGCTGTGTAATAGAAACGACACAGGCAGAGATGATTGTAGAAGCTTCAGGGGGACACCGTGTTCAGAAATGAGCCAGACGTGGTGCAAGCTTAGCGAGAAGTACCCTTGCATTTGGTGAGGCGTACTCGCATGTAAGGTTGCATAAGGCTGCAGTCTTACCTGCCAGGCTTCAGACGGTGGTAGAATGGAGAGCAGAGGGGCTACCGGGCTCTGCCCACCTGCACCGGGTGCGCCATCTCTTGAACTCTACTTCAATGGCACCTCTGTACCCTGAACATAGTGGGACTTTAGATGCCGCCAACCCTGGAGCCAGTTCAGAGGGAGGGAGGGCCACAAGGAGAAGCAAGGGGACTGGAAAGCCAAGCCTTAGGAGGAGGGAAGGCTGAAAGAACTGAGCCTATTCAGCCTTCAGAAAAGAAGACGGAGGGGTGATAATAGGGGAGCACTTTTCAAATATTTGAAAGGCCTAATAGGGGAGCACTTTTCAAACCCTTGAAAGGCTGTCCTACAGAGGAGGAGCAAGATCTGTTCTGAATCAACCCACAGTGCAGGACACGCAATAATGGGCTCAAGTTAAAGGAAGTCAGATTTCGACTGAATATCAGGAAAAAAACTTCCTAACTGTTAGAGCAGTACAACAGTGGAACCATTTACCTCTAGGGGAGTTGGTGAGTGCTCCAGCACTGGAGACATTCAAGATCCTCACCTGGCAGGTCTGCTTTGATTTGGGATCCCTGCCTTGAGCAGGGGGTTGGACTGGATGGCCAACTCCCATCATTCTATGGTTCTGTGGTTGTCTGCCTTCCATACACCCATCGTTCTATGGTTCTGTGGTTGTCTGCCTTCCAGGAGCTAAACAGGGCTGCGCCTGATGATGATTACCGGAATAGGAGAAGAGCAGGAGTTAGCCAGAGGTTCCCAGAGCAGGCTAGAAAAGATACCTGCCCAAAATAGATACTTGTAGGCTTGATGGAGGAAGAATCTTGACTGAAGGCAAAGCAGCCTCTGATGTTTCAAAGGCTGAGTCTTCCCAGCAACCACAGGGCTGGGTCAGGCCGGTGGATTCCCCGAAGGCCGACTGCGCACTGGGATTGCACACAAAAGCACACTCACCAGTTCCTCGTTCCCTGGCGTTGCACGGCCACGCCTGGGCAGCTCCCGGATCGCCTGCCTGCAGCCATAGGAACAATGCTGATCAGGTGCTTTGGACCTGGAGCAGAACCTGTTGCAGAGGAGTGGGCTCCAGATCCAGGGGTCTGCCCCTGCTCCTCCCCCTTTGCTGCCTCCTCGACAAGGGCAATTTTGTGGGCTGATCCAGGTGGTGGGTGGTGCAACCCTCACTCTGCAGGGAGACCTTCATTCAAAGCAAAGGGGATAAAAATCAACACTTTTATATCAAATTGATTTAAATCATGAGTTCAATTAAAGAGATCCAGTGTTTTGAATGGAAGACTCAAAAAGGTCCAATTTTTGTAAAAAAAATTAAATTGTGGTTTAAATCAAATCCACGCTGGGTCAAAGGTTGGGGAAATTCCTGTCCGAGAGTCAGGAAGAGCAAAGCCAGAGAGACGTGTAAAATAGAGCCACATTTCCTAAGGCTAAAATCCATAGGATTTGTGTACGATTTTCCATAGCAGGTTGCTGCCGAGCATCAGAGGGTGTCAAGGTGGTTGCAAAGCGAGGGCTGATTTCCGCCCTGATTCAGTGCCGCCCGGGGAGCTTAACGGCCCCATCCGCTGCGGCCTCTTGCGGTGCGGAAAGGCCCTCTTAACATGCCCTCTCTCCTCCTTCCTCTCATTCCAGGTGGGGCAGGTGTTCCTCTATTTCCAGTGGTAAGTAAGCCCCCCGGTCTTCAGGTGCGTTTGTGGCGTGCTGATGGGAGAGATGGTAGGGTGCTGAAGAGGAGCCAGGGCTGAGCAAGTTCGTTTTGTGTGTCTCCCACACAACGACGGTGCCCTATTTAAATACTTGCATGTTTACTGTTTTTAACTTTTAAATAATTGCCTTTTTAGTGATGTAAACCATCTTGGTTCCTTTTAAGAAGAAAGTTAGGGTACAATATTTTAAATAGTTAATTAAATTAATAGATTACCCAGTGTGGTGTTGCAGACAGAGTGGGACGGAGGAGAGCTGGCTTCTGATCTCGGCTGGACCCTCTCGGTGTGGTGGTGGTGGAAGCTCTTAACTATCCCACTTCCCTTAAATCCCTATTTAGGTCACTCTAAAGTCATACGCAACTTGATAACACTTACTGTAACTCACAACGGTAAAGCGGTATTTGGGTTGTAGTTGTGTTAATCTGTTCCTGTTTAAAAAAAACCAAAAAAACAGTCTTGGGGCAGCCTAAATCAGTGGTTCTTAACCTTTGTTACTCAGATGTTTTTGAACTGCAACTCCCAGAAACCCCAGACACAACGGTAAATCGGTATTTGGGTTGTAGCTGTGTTAATCTGTTCCTGTAAAAAAAACAACAGTCTTGGGGCAGCCTAAATGACCAATAATATTTTATGGGATGTGAGCTTTATCTCTTGGGATTCCAGCCTGCCATAAGCTTGCCCACCTTTGGAGACCAAGAATATTCTATGGGACATGAGCTTTATCTCTGAGGATTCCAGCCTGCCATAAGCTTGCCCACCTTTGGAGATCCCTCTGAAGATGCTGGCTTATAAGTTCCAGGAAAGCTGACAGGATGTCAGACAGAATGGGTTGGTCTTTTAAGGTGCCAACCCTTGACACTGGGCGCCAGGCTCTGTGCTGGGATGGCGATTCGGCTTGAAGAGAGCTCGGTGCCTTCGGCTCTTGCCCTTTTGACCCGGGCTGTCTTTCCCACCAGGGACAGCCTCCTGCTGGAAACGGGCTTCTTGGCCGTGCTGGTGGCCCCCCTGCATCTCCTGAAGCGGCGCTCGATGGCCTGGCGGCCTCACGACGGGGTGACCTTCTGGCTGGTGCGCTGGCTGCTTTTCCGGCTGATGTTCGCCTCCGGAGTGGTGAAGCTGACCAGCCGCTGCCCCACCTGGTGGGGGCTCACAGGTGGGCGCCGGGAAGGGAGGGAGGGAGGGGCGGTGGGAGGGAGCTTGGCTTCTGCTTGATGTCTTTTAGATCTAGGAAGCGAAGTTGTTCTCCAGCGAAGGTTCAAAAAACATCTTGGGGGGGGGGGAGGGTTGCAAACACCCCTGCCTGGG